ATATTTTTTATATTTTTCTTTCAAAAAATTTAATATTAATTATTTATTTATTCAAAAAATTGTTAAATTAATATTAAGTCTAAATATCTAATAATAATAACTATTTTATAGTATTTATTTTATTTTATACTTAAAAATTAAAAATAAAAATATAATTAATTAAAATTTTAATTTTAAAAAATAATTAATTTTAATCAAATAACTTTAAATTGGCTTAACCTAACATGTTAAATTGAAGCAATTTCAATTTAAATCATATTAGATTTCAAATTAAAAGTTTAGATCATGACCCTATCATAGCAGATAAGATGAGTCAAACTTTCAGGATCGATGCAATTTTACCAGGTCTAAGTGCAGGGGTAAGTGCAAGCTAAAAAAAAACAAATGCATGCCTTTGTTTTTCTTGATTGGTAGTCTCTTTTTTTTTTTAGCCAACCATATTAAAGCAGGGATGTTTATTCTTATTTTTCAGTGTGAAAATTTTCACTTATCTATCAGTTTTTTTTTTTTAAATGTTTTTCCTTTCAAGAATTTAGTAGGCGACTAGTGGAAAGAAAATATTTTTTTTTTCTTTTGTCTCCCTTTGATGGAATATCTACCTGCATATTCCTTATTCCATATCTCCAAAAATCCTAATTGTTAATTGCCTTTTTCTTTCATTTTTCTCTGTTTTTTTTTTCCCAATCAGAACTGCTTGACAGGTGACTAATTTATGAATGACTTAATTTTTTATTTTTAAGTCTTGACTAATATTTAGGTTTTGTTTTTGTTTTTTAATGTATTTTATAGATCTTTTCCAAACATTTTTTTAAATTTTTTGGTCTTGACAAATATTTTGACTTTATTTGAATTTTTTTTATAAATCTTTTTTACACTTTTATTTTTTATTTTTTAGTCTTGATTGACATTTAAGTTTCATTTGGAAATGTTTTTTAATAGATCTTTTTCACACACTTTTCTTTTTTTGGGTTTATTTTAGTCATGACTAACATTTAGACTTTATTTGGAAATGTATTTTATAGATCTTTTTCACACTTTTTTTTTTT